TTTTCTGCATCAGAAAGCCACTTCGTGCCGAGTCCTGAGCAGTTATAAAAAGAAATCTGTGTAGAAAACTACATCCATAAAAGTCATTAGAGGGAGAATCATACAATTTTCACAGCCTTTGAGAATGGAACGTTTCGTAGATGTCAGGATTGTGGCAGTTTGCAATACACAATAGCTTTATATGTACTGTTTCAAGTATTTTCTCCATATTGGATTCACCTGTACTTGCCACCCTCACTGCATTATAAAACTCAAACTTTTTTGCTTTGAGCAAACATCGGGTGAGCTCTTCCAAGTTGATAGTCTCAGGAAGTTTTCCACGTACGTGTGAAGGTCAAAGCTGATTTAGCGAACAAATTGTGTTCTGAAGAACACTTACCCATGTTGAGAGATACTTTGTATGTGTGAAAGGGTTGTAGATACTGATAGTAGGCTATTGAGATTGATATCTCCTTCAAATCCTTTCACGAAAAGCCGTTGTTATGACCTACGAGTTAGAAGAAGGACTTTGCTTTGCCTGTTTTCATAAATTCCCATACTAATTTTTGCGAAATTCTTACCATCTACAAGCTGTCTTTCAGTGGAATGAACGAGACATAGTTCTCTGCGTCAATGTCCTCGTCATCTGTTGTTATATCGTAAATGAATGGTTAGAAAATGACTGCGAAATTGATTTATTTCTCGGGTTTAGTGTGGGTATCGTGTGTTTCATTCCCTCAACGCAGTAAGGTGTTCAGCAAAAATTCCTTCACAGATCGCTATTCTGTCCCCTCTCATAAGGAAGAACATAGTAACAACTTTGCACAGCTTTGACGTAATTTGCATACACTTTCTACAAATAGCAGATTGGTGTTCGCAGGATTTTTTTTTGTACAGATAACTGAGAATACTAAGCCAACCTCAATATGCACTTTTGCGGCCACATAACGGACATGAATGAGTCAAATCATTCCATAAGCTGTCTAGTACGATATAAGCAGTTTTTTTCCTGCCTGCTGTCGTTTGAGCAAGGGAATATGTGCTGCTATTATTTGAATCTTTACATATGCCGACAAATCGAAAAGCAAAAGCTGCTAGAAAGAATTTTGCAAGCTCATATTGTTTTCAAGGGATTGTTGATATAATTGTATCTAATCACTGTTATATTTACTCGAAATGCCGACGATTTGCTTGTGACTTGCGCGTAAAATGGCCGTATATATTCGCACATTACCACTGTTTACGCTCAAATATTGTTGTAGACGAAAGGACGCTATATCAATCCACTAACTTATCTGCACTTTTGCTGAAGAGACTGTTGTGCAGCCGAAAAGATTTTTGGTCGCTTGAAAAATACATGAGCAGAAGTTCATGAAATCATTTATTGTTCGTAACAGCACGGTATGAAGCCCGCCTCATGAAAGAGACGCGCAGGATAGAAATCTCTCCCCATTTCCAGCCTCGCGACTGACCTTGATTAGCGATTAGAAAGCGGAGTAACTTGCCCTCCTTACTCTTACTTTTTCCATATTCTCGCTTTACTGTTTAACGTCACCTGATTTGCTCATTTATTCATTTTTTTTTTTTATGCAGGGCAAGGCGACACCGTGTCTATAGGCGATTCACAGCACGCAAAGACTGCGGACGTATCGCGTCTCTTCGATCGAGCGCTCTTTCGTTTCTCTTACCATCTGCTATCTCTTCCATGCAAGAACTATCTTGGTCGGACGCAACGGCGCCCAGTCTTTGGGTGTCATGAATCATGTATATGTATGGTAGAAACCAGCGTCTGAAAGTGGTTAGAAGCTGATCAGCGTATCAACCGAAATGTGTTACATTTGGAGCTATTTTATGTTTGTAGTGTTCTACTCTTTATGTATTGTTTTTTGTCAGTTGTAAGGACTATGTGGTCGAGTAAGTTTCTTTGCTGATGTGTGCAATTACACATCTTCCAGTATGGTATCGGTCATGAATCCCAGGTGCCGTATCCATTGCACTTTTCTTAATTATATTTTCTTGTTCAACATTTGTGTTCGAAAAGTCTGATTGGGAGACATGAGTCCTATGACTAGTATAAGCTGATCCCTAAGGGGACGGCCATAGGTTGTCGGTGTTGTCGGTGTTGTCGATGTTGTCGGTGTTGTCGGTGTTGTCGGTGTTGTCGGGGTTGTCGGGGTTGTCGGGGTCGGAGACAGTTTAGAGAGCGCGCGAAACGTGGAGGCTCATGAGGTCCTACAACGACCGGCAACCTCGGCAACCCCGAACACCGACAACACCGACAACACCGACAACATCGACAACACCGACAACACCGACAACACCGACAACATCGACAACATCGACAACACCGACAACCTATGGCTGTTCCCTAACGAAGGCGGTTGGTTTCAAATGTGCGAAGCAGATGCGAAGGCGTGTTCGAGCATTATCATCATTAAAGCTCGCATGCCTCGCGTTCATGAGCCGCATTCGTCTGGGAGTAGCTATTATCCTGGGAAGGGTGTGATTGCACAAATTAGCAAAGGAACCAAAGGACGTCGTTATTGTGCTCGTGACATTGTTCCATGCCGATATTCTATAATTTTGCTTTTCTTTCGCCTCTGAGCTTACAAACTTGATTAAATCGCGTATGATTCACATCTTCAGCGTAGCTGTAAACAATAGATGGAAACATCTGGTTGAATAGACAAAAAAGTCGCATCCACGAGTAAAAGCACCTAGCACAGTACACACCCTGTGTACTGCACTCTTATCAAAGTCTAGAGATTGTACTTTTTTCTGACCTCCTTAATCGCGGCGCTGCTCAGTCTGATTTATCTTCCGCATTTGCGAGCAGCAATGATAAGGAAACAAAGATCACTAATGAGCCGCCATTGATGGAGTTCATTACTACAAACCACACTGATGCAAATCAGGAGGCGATCAAGTTGTTTTGAAGAAACAGGTTGGGCAGACAGACTGGAGAAGTATGAGTTTCAACTTTTTCTTCTCTTTAGTGGGCCTACTTTGAGCTTCATTAACATGTAGCCAAAGAAATTGTCCAAAATAATTTTTTTTGTGAAGCGAATGCACTTTCTAGGCAAAACTTCAATGCATTCAGGACTTAGGCGCTCAACCCTTTACTTACAGATAGGTGCCTCAAAAGCCTCTCTATGTGTTATGAAACAAGAAATCAACAATAATAAGAAGGATTTTTTTACTGTTAAGTGTAGAACTCTGTTTCTTCCCCTCCCTTAGACGGAGTAAAAGATTAGATCCCTGAACTCGTCAGTAAGGAAGGAAAATCTATAGAAATTTAGGTACTTAGACTTCATAGTAAGTAGTGCCTCAAAATGAGGTGGCAAGCATTTCTCGTCAATGCCGCTGGGGGTCTCGAATTTGCTCACATTGTCTCAACAAGGTTAAACTTGTTCTTCCTTGGTTCCAAGTAATGAAGAGTTCTATTGAAGATAGATTACAAGGTTAAACTTGTCAGGAACACCTTCAAGCTTGTCTAGACTATGTGCGAAAAGCGCGTTGTGTCCTAAGTGTTGTGTAAACGCACAGCTTACGCAGAAAATGCAAAGCAACTCGTGAATGCCCATGTGCACTACTTTTGCGAAGGGTAGACTTCTCTCTACTTCTCTCTAACAAGGTGGTACAGTGCCAGGGTCTTTGCGATGAATGTGCACCATGCAGACCATTAGACAGACAGTAGCGCATTCAAAGAAATTGGGAGCAGCAACTCAGACACTCGCTGCGGCGGCGCGCGCGTCTTATGCGTGCGGCCCCTCATGTCGCCCGCCGCCGGCCGTCAAATAGCGCGCGCGCCGCGAGTATATGGCACGCGCGCCGCGAGTAAATGGTACGCGCGCCGTGAGTAGATGGGACGCGCGCCATACGATAATGGCACGCCGCTCGCACGGTATGAAAATTGCCATTCGCATTTGAAGCACTGCGAATCACGGTGAATCTGTGGTAGATCTGATGACAACCTTCAATTTCAGGCAAACAATGGCTTCAATTTCAAATATGAACTTAAGGTTTCCAAAGTTTCCAAACTTTTGAAATTTGAAAATTCAAATTTCAAAAATTCGAAAATTCAAATTCCCAAACTTGAATTTAAACTCGGCACCTACTCGCGGTGCTTATGAGGACTGAGTCTCAATGGAAGAACTAGAAGAATCCCATTTGTGTTAATGAGACAACTCCATTGCGAAATAGCGATAACCTTAATGAATTGGCGATAAAGCACCCAAAACACTGCGTCGTACTTCACGCAGGTATCGCTTGTGCTTACAGCGTGTGAAAATGCGGAAGAATATCATGGCACGCCACTCACTGATAGATTGCGCGCCGCTCGCACTCTCAACTAGGGCGCGCCGTTCGCAACTGTATTAATACAGTGTTATAGTGGCGCGCGCGCCGCCGTGCCGAGTGTCGAATAAGCGCGCCGGCGGCCGTAATAAGGCGCGCCGCTCGCCGGCTGCGAACGATGGCGCGCCGCTCGCACTGCAGCCTCAAATAGGGCGCGCCGCTCGCACGGCAGCATCAAATAGAGCGCGCCGCTCGCACTGTAGCGCTATTATGGCGCGCCCGCCGCCGCAGCGAGTGTCTGAGAATTACAGGCGCATTCCGTGTCGGAGTGCGCAGTGGTGGGTGGTGCTGCGCTCAAACGCCGCAGCGGGCGAGTTGCGCCGCGTGCGGCGGCGCGTTCGCTGGCCTTTCCGTCGCTTCTGCTGAATTCGCTGCTTCTCATTGTTTGATTTGGGGAATGTGCGCCCGATTTGAATTCCTACTGGTACACTGCCAGTAAACTTTGCAGCATCAATGGTTTTGAAGTCCATCATTTCCGAGCTTCTTTGTGTCTGAGCGCCTTGCTTGATTTTGAGTTCAACTTTTTAATCGAATAAATATTCATTTAAATACCACTCTCTTGAATTCAGTATGTTCTGTTTTTGGTTCTGTAGACTCGTACGTTGCGTGTATAATGTTATAAAGAATCATCGCGCATCATTGTTTTAAAAGCAATGTAATTTTCGTCTAGGACTAGCTCCTTGAAGTTCGATCGTACGAAGAGGATGGGGTGCGTGAACAGTACAGATCAACATGCAAAGCTACGATCGAAGCATATCGACGAACAGGTTCGGCTTGTTCTCTAATGCCTTGCGATAATTTATGTACGGCAATGTTTCTTACTATCTGCGTGAAGGATAGGGTATTTTCTATACCCAAGTAAGCCGAGAACGAAAAAGGGAGAGACATCTCTTTTTTTATTTTCTGCTTCTAAGAAAGGGCGTTCTTGAGTTTTTTGGATGACATTGACGGCTAGCGTTCTCGACGTCCTATTTTGCACCCATCTTTGATTTTCAGAAACCTAAGAATTTTCGCAGTGTTGGTAAGATGATTGGGAGCATTAACAAATCTATGTGTAAGTTTTCTGTGGACAAAGAAAACTCAAGAGAGTTTTCTTTGTCCACGGAAACGCGTAAGCGCATTAAGACAGACCTAAGGCTTCTCTCACGATTTTTTACTATTCTAAATGAGAGAATTTTGCTCTTGTGATACTACATACGCTCGCGTAGCCTCCCGTGCGGTTCATATAAATACAGCGTTTTTCAGGTAGTCATGTAATTAAATCCATGAAGTGTGTGAATAGAAAATAGGAACGTTTATCGCGCCTAGGATCTTGGCTCATGATGTAGATTTTGAGCTAACTTTTCACAGCCTTTCGCAGTTTCACGATGCCTACATCAGAGCGTAAAAAATGCGGACGTTATTACTGAAAAAACTTTTTGCAGGCTCGGCTTTAGAGCTCAGCTGGCGTCTCTCGCAAGTTTAGTCTCTGAAATCTCTTTGAACTTTTGCATTTGCAGCTGCTCTCCATGATCCTTTCATGTGATGGCTTTGAGGATGGAATTACCTTATTCAGCTATCTTGATCAGTTTAGCTTTCGTTAAAAAATTCCATCCGAAAAATCTTGACTAGTCGGAAACCAAAATCTGCTATTGTGGGCTCAAAGTTTTGATCATAAATTGTTCTGAGGTATGGCACGTGCTCCCAAACTTGGGTTGTTTTTTCTTGTCAGTGAATATATTTCTATATATATCTAGTCTAGACATTTGGTAAATATGAGAAGATAATGACATTCTGGAAGTAAAAAGTAAGAGAAGTGTACTTATGTTTGTTAAGAGTAATGTCAGCGTGCTTGTGAATGACAAGTGGCAAGAGGAGGTTCTGCTGGAAAATTTTCTTCAAAATTCTTCGATTGCCATGCTATGTTGTCATTGACAGTTATTTAGTTGAAAGCTGATGGAGAACGTGCAGCTCGTGAAGTGAAGCTGCTGTTGTTGGGAGCTGGTGAATCAGGGAAAAGCACTATCGTTAAGCAGATGAAAATTATTCATGAAACCGGCTATAGCGACGAGGAACGGAAGCAGTATCGGCCGGTTGTGTTCAGCAATACTATACAGGTGATTGTTTCAAGCTGATGTTCACTTATATAAAAAGCGGTTGCTTTGGTACTTCATTGCCACCGTTGGTCCAAGTGGGTAAATGTCATTCATTGAAACAAATGATGAAGCTCAGTTGCTAGATAGCTCTATTTTGAAAAAAAAATTTTGCTGCACAATGCAAACAATTTTTTCATGTTTTCTAGCATGAGTACGCTCATTTTCGTATCGATGCAGACCATTTCTGTCTTCGCTAATGCGTTAACAGCTTTTACTTTGAGTAGCTTGCAATCGCATTTTTGTTGGCGAAGTTAAATCAGTCTAAGTTCTAGCTGGTGCTCTTTTGGCGTATACTTTCATTATTTATTTTTTGAACAAGGTCTTAATGCTTGGTAACAGTGTTTGTTACTTCAGAAATCTTGATTCTATCATCAAATTGAAACGTTACCTCTCATGTGTTACGGTTTTTTTTTTCGAAGTAGTAGTTGCTTCATCAGAAACAGTGCAAAAGTACAATAGGCTTGCTGAAACGTGAAAAAAATCTGAAAAGAATGCCTTGTAACTTTCAAATTGTGTGCGGTCACATGGTATATCATGTCAGGTTACATCGAGAGTGCATCCGATTCGAATCCGGATCACTAGAGCTTTAGAAACGAATAATGCTTGAAGTTATATTTTGTACATTAAAGCTGAACGAAGAAGTCCAAGGCATTTTAGATGTGTGGTGGTATCAAGCCGAGACCTTGTCTCTGCTGTCTCATACCAGTTGATAAGTCGACCTGTTACAGTCAATGGTTGCGCTGCTTCGAGCCATGGGCACATTGAAAATCGACTTCAAATCACCGAATAGCGTTGAGGACACACAACAATTCTTCAGCATTAGCCAAACGTGTGATGAGGTTGGTCACAAGAGAGTTTCACTCATCCACTAACCCGAATTACTTTAGGGCGAGTTGCCTCCAGACTTGGCAAGTGTTATGAAACGTCTTTGGGCAGATCCAGGAATCCAGGAATGTTTTATGAGGTGAGACCTAACAGCTTGGAGCTTTTCAATTAATTTTATTTTTATCTTTGATCATGTTTTGCCGCTTTTTTCTCTGTCTGTGATATAATAAATAGACCGTGTCCTTTTATAATAATCCGCTATGCCAATTTCTCATTATTCTAGAATGTCTCAATTTAGATGTTGACATTTACGCATCATCTCGTTTGAGCTGCTGAAAGGTTGTTGCTGAGCGTGATACAGTGCACTGCTTTGTGAGGGTTTAAATATGAGGGAATGTATTTGTTTGTCCATTGTTATGATCCATGTAACTATCCAATAATGCTGCTATGATTCTGTATAATACTATGATATGCACCACTTTCATAGGGATGTGGCAAGTGACAAATTTTCCACAGATAAGTTCTGCGACAGTGTCTGGCTCATTTACCTTTTCCTATGATTCTTCCATTTCAAATATGCGTTTTTTGTTGAAGGGATATTAATAATGCAGTCATTATTCCCCTCAAAACAATAGGTCTTTGAAGACGATTAACGAATGCAGCATCTCCTTATCAGTATCACGTCGGCTTGTTGCAGATGTTAGTCACAGTCGATTTGTTTATCTTTGTCATATTCTGCGATTTTGAGTAACTTCTTGAATCCTGAATATACAGTGGCAAAAAAGCATAGGTGCTTCATAGAAATCAAATCTTACAACTCTAGTATGCTTTAAAAATATTAGTATACAATGCGGTAGGTGTTAAACTTGATATTATTGTCAGTATTGGATTGTAATGGTGTTTTTCAATAGCTTTCTACAATTTTTTTTGTAAACATCTTTAGTAAGCTTGCTTTTCAGTACTTGATATATTCTTCGGCAAATGTTCTAAATCCAAATTTTAGGTCGCGCGAGTTCCAACTGAATGACTCCGCTCCATACTACTTGAATTCTCTGGAGAGAATAGCTCAGCCTAACTATATTCCGACCCAGGTTTGCGGTAAGAGAAGATGGCTTTTATTGAAGTTTTATCTTAGGATGACGTGCTACGAACTAGAGTCAAAACCACTGGAATTGTTGAAACACATTTCACCTACAAGGATCTGCATTTTAAGTATGTATTTCGTTTTGTTCTCAATCTTTTAAGAGATAGACGAGACTTACCAAGGAAGTAATCAATGCAGGATGTTTGACGTTGGTGGACAAAGAAGTGAACGAAAGAAATGGATACACTGTTTCGAAGGTGTCACAGCTATTATCTTCTGCGTAGCTATGAGCGAGTACGACATGGTCCTGGCGGAGGACGATGAAATGGTACTAACGACATCTTTCTGTTTTCACACATTAAAAAAAGAGATGTCACATTTACAGAACCGAATGATCGAATCAATGAAACTTTTTGATTCAATTTGCAATAACAAATGGTTTACGGAAACATCAATAATTCTGTTTTTGAACAAGAAGGATCTATTTGAAGAAAAGATCAAGCGATCACCTTTAACACGTTGCTTCCCCGAATATACCGGTAAGTGTGCATTTTGCTTGAATCTTCGGACATTGAGATCTAATTTTTTGTTCATCTGCTTTATACATGTTCTGGTTGGTTGGCTAGAGTTGGTCACATTTTTAAACGCTAAAGTTTGTCACAAAAAAGTCATGTCGCTGTAGTTTTGCATATCTTATTGTTAGTTCGAGTCCTTGACGACTGTGCTTATTTTGCCATCCGTGCAAGGTATACTTACAAATACATTCGCTATCTACTTTCATCTATACGCCTACAACTTTGGGAATTGCACTTTTGAGTACACATGAATTGCCATCAGTCTCTCAGGTCATTTGTTTTCTTTTTGATATTATGAGCACTTGATATCCACTTCTCTACTTAAGAAATGCTGTTCAAACACGGAATATCTGGCATGGTAATTTGCCTTTTTCTAATCTCACTCGCGTGACTGCGAGCAATTTTTTCTCATCTTCGTGCAGATTCTTCTGCAAGTATGTCTAGAATGACTATATGAAGGGAAAGATGGCATTTGCTTGCGTTTTCACGTCAATGCAAGAAAACATCAAAACATGGAGGCAATGTACTACCTAAATTAAGGTAGCTTTTTGTAATAAATATAATCATATAGTAAGGTTCTTGGGGCAGATTGTTGAGCAGCAACTACGTTAGCTCAGTCACCACAACATGAAAATCATGCCATCAGGAAAAGGTGTTTTTGGAGTGTCAGCAATTTTCATAGTCGCAAAGTTTGTTCAACTTCATAATTATCGCTGAAAGTAGCGTTCTGGGGAAGGGGGGGGGGGTATTGTTTTGAGCTGAAGTTATTTTTGTTAGACTAACGTGTATGTAGTGGAACTCTGCACCTTCGGATATTCGTAGTTTATAATAAGTTAAGGACGACATCATCTCAAGGACCTTGATATTGTCAGCGCTTGCTATCATATCTTTCTTGACGCCGTAACCGATTACAGCACAACGTTTTGGCACATTATCTGCTAATGTCTCCACTGTACGTCAAGATATACTCATCAGAGCGTTTCTAGGAGCTAACACTTACGAAGAAGCAGCCGCCTATATGCAGCTACAGTTTGAGAACATGAATAAGCGACGAGATGGCCAGAAGGAGATTTATACGCATTTTACATGTGCGACTGATACGAACAATATACGCTTCGTGTTCGACGCTGTTACGGACATCATCATCCGTGAGAATCTTCGTCAATGTGGTCTGTTTTGAATTTATGTGCTCAATTTCTGTTTTTTTTATTCGTAACGAACATTGTGGCAAGAGAATGCTTTCGTTATAACGAAAGAATCACGATCCATTTCTTTTCTTTTTTCTCGAAAGATTGCCCACATAATCATTCTGTAGAACTTCTGTTCGTCTTGCATGAGTATATATTCTCTGTTTTGAGCGAGTTTCACCTTTACGACGCCGTCACAGTTTTTCCCCATTTCATATCATATTGCATTGTTTTTCGTGTTTCTCACTTTCATAACTTCGTTCGTTGCGATCCTGGAAAGCCTTACATAACACCGTGTAATTGCTAGATGAACAAATTTTGCCGTCAGCATTGATGTGTCACTCGCCTTTTATTCCAAGTTACGTATTTTCTAAGTTATTTGTTGTCAATGATTCTCTACTCGCCAATTAATCTCTCTTTCTCGATTTACATAGTTTAGGTGCATAATTGCTTGTTATCACTTTGTAGCCTGATGCGAATTTCTTAGAATAGTCGAGTTCAGATTGTATATCTGGAGTTATCACTGCTTCAACGATTGTTACGTATATTTATATAATAACGATGTAGTCTTTTGAGAAGTTGAACTCCAATGCTTTCTGTCCCGTTATGTGCATGGTGAGCTGGGCACTGTGTCCTTATATCCACTCCTTTATGTTTTTCTACGACTTCCTCACTCCAAGAACCGATGAAAGTTAGCCATTTTATGTGTATATTTTACAGTTTACATCTTCTCATGTTCTCTCGCAACTACAGATTATATAGATGTTGCTGTTGGCTGTTCTTTGCCACTTCATTTTTTCATATTTTTTTTGTAACACGTTCATTTACGGTTTTGATACATGCCTAAATATTTACGTGTTGCATATTTAATAAAGCTTTTCTGAGTTTATCTCATCCGAGAACCTTGATAAATTCGTCTTTGCTAAGCAGAAGTCAAGTGAGACGCTTATCATCCAAGCTATCATATCACGCCAAGCTTCGAGAATCACTTTGAAGTTTTTATGTCTTGAAAACAACAAGCTGAGAACTTTTGCTTGACGCCACAAGCCAATCCTGTAAAATCATAGGAGACTTGTGGAAGGACGACGTCAAGCTCATCTGAAACCAGACTTCAATTTTTCTCTCATTCAGCGTAACGTGTTTTGCATACATAGGTGAAGTCAAATGCTCGATTATCTTCGCCATCAAAGATGGTTCCAGTATATACATACCCAAAGGTGATTTGAAAGACAGCGGCAAAACGAACACCTTGAATTTTTGGTAGGGAAGACTGCTTGCACCTCAAACATGAGGAAAGTTGAAGTCCAAGTGCATAGCATGCCGCCCCTGCCTAGACCCGCAAGACTGGGTTCTTACTGATCCGGGTGTTCCGGAACAGTCCAGCACAGTTTATCGCAGTGTGCTGGAACTGTTCTGCATGTGCTGCAACCGCCCGCATGCTTGAGTGGCGGAAGTTAGGGATTTTTTGACCGTTTAACGGTTTTTCTCACAAACTTCATCATCTCGTTCTCATTCTTCTACTCCGCTTCCTTCCCTTTCTGATGAGAAGAGCCTCGATTATGAAGTGGGGTCGGAAAATGAGCACCGCTTTGCTTTCATGCACTTGGGGAGATGCGTCTTCGTGCGCTGTCTATTCTCTTTTTGTTATTTTTTTCCGACCTACATGTGTTCGGATGCCTTTGCCTACTTTCCAAAGCCATCCGTTCTGAGCTAGCGCATACGAACAATTCTGAAAGTGCGAAAAATCGGGACCTTTCTCTAGCTTTCCTATGAGTTTCGCTTTTGAGCGTTCTCGGTCCCTTTTTATTTTCAGTAAGATTGCTCAGACGTTCTATCTTCTACTTCGCTTTTCCTTATGATTAGAAACTGCGAACTTGAAGCGGGGTTGAAGAAAAACACTGTTGTGCTTCTCGCGTGAGGGAAGATGGGTCTTCGTGCGTTCCATTCTCTCTTCGTTACCTTTGTTCACACTACTTCTGTGTTTCAAAAGGCTGTCTATGCCCCTTTCAATACAGATGCGAAATACGCAGCGGCTTCATGGAACACATGAAGTTGGTATTAAAAAAATAATGTAGAGAAAGTGGACGAGCGCATAACGTCCCATTTTCCCTTATACGTGGAGCAGAAACTCGAAGAAAAGCTAGAGAAAAGTCCCGATTTATCGCACTTTCAGAACCGTTCGTATGTGCTAGCTCAAAAAAGTGGCTGTGGAAAATAGGCAGAGGGATCCTGGAACACATGAGGTAGGTCGGAAAGAAATAACAAAAAGAGAATGGACCAGCGCACGTAGACGCATCTTCCCAAGTGTAGGGAAGCAGAACGGCGCTCATCCCCCAATCGCTTCTTAATTGAGGCTCTTCTTATTAAAAGGGGAGACGGGGTAGAAGATTGAGACCGGAATGATTGAAGTTCTAGAGGAAAACATTTAAGGCAGTGTCCCACCAGACTGGGGCTATCTGGCTCTCGTAATAATGTGATAGTAGACCTCTTACCTAAGATTGAAGTTTGAAGCGAAAAAGGGGGTCTACCAAGCCTGAAATTTGCTTCGAAAGTGGCCCGAATCTTACGGTAGGCCCGAATGCCACCCGCACAGCGGTTTCGAACTACAAGGCCAGAGCACGCATAGCGCACACAGGGTCTCGCAACGACTCTGCGTCTCTACCTTGCATCCATCTCGTACTCGCAGTCTACCGTAAGATTCGGGCCACTTTCGGAGCAAATTTTAGGCTTGGAAGACCATCTTTTTCGCTCCGAACTTCAGTCGTCGCTTAGGTAGGGGGTCTACTATTACATTACTACGAGAGCCAGATACCCCCAGTCTGGTGGGACACTGCGTTCAAAAACATTTGAAAATCTCCAACTCTCGCCTTTCAAAACGCATGTGAGCGGTTGCAGCGTAAGGAGCACAATCCCGACATAGTTCCAGCACAGTGCGAGAACTGTGCTAGAATTGTTTCGGAACATCCGGATCAGTATGAACCCAGCCTAAACCCGTGCGCGCAAGACGTTATTACACGCGCTCGATTCCTCTCTCAAAATGGGAAACGGCATGCCGAAATGTTATAAACATTTATTTATTTATTTATTTAATACGCACAAGGCGCGCCCATACAACAGAAGAACGAAGCATCACACCAAACAACCAATAACAAAAAAAACAAACAAAAAGGCAAACTCCCCACTGAATCAGTTCAAGTCCAGTCCGCAAAACCTTTCTGGGAATGGAAAGGGAGTGAGCTTGTTTAGACATATATGAAGTCATCACAGGTATAGAGGTTCAATGGAGTCTGTCTCATGCCCCCTGCTCTTAGCAATAAATGCTCTTACTGCCCTTTTAAACATGAATTAGTTTCTCTTACAAGCCACTGGAAAATTCTGCCTCGATCTAACTTTAAAGGCAGTGGTCGGCAAATCTTCAACCTGGGGTTTCCTCGCTTACTTGGCGTAATTCGGCGCGCTGATTGCGAAAGTTCACCCTCGAGAGCACGAAAATGGCAAAAAAACACCATTTACCGAGGCCTTTTATTTTGAATGTGGGCGAGTTCCGCCATGGTTAAAGACGTAGAGTCGTTGCAAAACCCTCAAGTGTATATTTAGGAGTCGGCATGCCACCTCTGACGATGGGAGGGGAATCACAAGCTCGTCCAATCGCGTGTAAGAAGGGCTTACGCGCGCGGGTTTAGGGGCAGTTTTCTAGGCAGGGGCAGCATGCTCTGAGCTCGGACCTGCTCTGTTCTCATGTTCGGGATGGAAGTAACCTTCCGTATAAAAATTTCGTAATGTTCGGTTTTGCCGAGCCACTACCTTTAAGCAATGCTTTTGCTAGACTGCGCTTGTTCAAACGGTCACAAAGATGCAACATCCCGCGCTCCTCCTTTTCAAGAAGCTGGAAGGATTCTTCCATTTGTATTGATGATAAATGTCGTGCACGGTCGACATTTTACTCTGTCCTATGATAATCGGCCAGAGAATGTTGTTATGTACATAAGACGCCGTCCAATTATTTTCACATGATGGCATATAAACACTTTCGTCTGCCATATTTCCGAGTGAGGGACTTGTAAAACAATACCAAGGCGAACCTTGTTGATTTGGTTATGGCGTTTAGTTCAGCGTGGAGAATTATGGGTGAAACTTCTCGAAGCTTAGCCCAGAGAGGATTGGGAAAAAGAGCAGAATGGAGTGCAAGAGAGACGGCTTTTCCGAGGAGAATTTATTTTGGTGGGTCATTTTGCAACTTAAAAATATTCGTGTGATCGTTTTAGATGACGTTTAGTACCATACCATTTCCACCAACATACAAGTGACAGGCTCGTAAGAGTTATTATATAGCAATCTCATATTGTTTAGCATCGTCATCATTCATCAAGCTCATAACATACAAAAGCAATGTCATTCGACTTCGTACCAGCACCATGATGCTATTTTAGCGCTCTATTTTGTTCATGGTATCAACTCGTTCTCAAGCCTTTGAATTCTCTTTTCTTTCTCCTGTCTATGGCGGTTTGTAGTCCAGAGAATTCCCCAGCGCTGATGCTAGTCCTGCTTCTGAATCCGACGAGCTAATACATCTGAACACGGTACCGAATTTTCTCGCAGTCCCAACGTGCCATTGCAGATCGTGGATTTAATTCTTGCACTGCATGCCACCCTGACTGGCTCGCATATGTTGAGGGGATTTTCTTTGAAGTGTTGCAGTAAACGGTCACCCCGAAATGCCTTCTGATACGCGCACTTCGGTAGAACAGGGCGACTTGGAGGTAAAGAATCCAGGATTTTTGACAGCACTGGCGTCGAAGCAAAACCATGTTTTTTAGGATAGGTACGGTTACACATAAACCTCGTTTTACCAAAATCGTGTTTCCAACTGGACCTCAACGTATTGCACTGGTGTAGGGCGATTCGCACCACCGTGCTTTCCACACAGGACTGTCGCTGCGCGCAAAACGCGGCGGTTTTTGCCTCAGCAAAGCACGAGGGAAGGAAAGATTTGCCGCGTAATTGACAAATTAAGACAAGTCATCAGGAGGACGCTAGAGACCGCCTGTGCGAAAAGACCGTTTCCCCATTGCAGTTCCTGGCGGGACAAAACTCGCGGTACAGGCCGTAGTTTTCTACTCCTCCAGACCTAATCTCACTGCTGATGAACGCAAGAGGAACTTTGCTTTGCGCAGGGAGGCACTTGAGAACCACGCATTGAATTACAAATGCTATGTGGTCTATTGGGATGAGGTTACTGACTACCCTTAGCCTTGTGGTCAAAGCAAATTTGTTTTTTCTTTTCTCTCCATGAAATCTGACAATGTCTTTACAACGGAATCTTGCCTTACGCCGGGCATTGAATCTGATTGTCTTGGTCCTTCCTGTACGACCTTCCACAAAAGTTCGCTTAAAAAGACCTAGGGGAAGTTTGTATGTTCCTATTCGTAATATTGTTCTATGTGGAGATATGCTCTTGTCAGGTAAACTACTAATATTTTGCCATAAAGTCACAGATCTTGAGTCGCAGTCCAAATGTTTCATTTCTTGTTCATCGTCCTCAGTCCTCCGCGTTTAACAGTGGTTCCTGTCTCATCGATTTTTTGCAGAAGTTTTATAGTAATCATTCCAACGTCGTTCTGATGGGTGAATTCAATCTCGCAACCAACATTCATTCTTGAAAAACTCAAGTCATCCACGTTATTGACCACGGGCGGCATTCCCCAGATTGCACCGAGAAAATTGATCTCAGACCTGTAACCTATTCTTGAACGCGCTCATACAAGATCGCGATTCTTCCCCAAACATCGGAGCGGCGCGCCATGTTATGGCCATAGATTCCGGCAGCGACTCTGCTTCTCCAACCACGGCGAGAACTGTTTTACTAATCCGAATTCAGAATAACCTCAGTAAATGCTGTTTTCACCTTTGCGCTTTACAAGGTGGATGTTTGGAATCAGAGCATAGATAACCCCAGGCAAGCAAGCCATTTCCAAGAGGATTCTTCGAGCCACTGTAGCTGCGCCAATCACTTATCTCACTTCTATACTGGTCGGGTCTCCTTTTCAGCACTGGCGAACCTTGCAAATTTATGAAGAAAGAGCTGTGCCTATGCCAAAGGTCCAGAATCCGTGTAAAATTACTGTAACTCGGCTGAAATCCACGAACTTTGCTGCTTGTTAAGTTGATGAGAAAGTTGTTCGAAGAGGATTGCTGAGATTCTGGGCACAAACATCTCAATGCGCTGAATCTGCAACATTTCAATTTTCAAACACCTTTCATAACTCCTTTCTTGTACTGCACGGTGTATGCAGAAATTACCCGATTCTGTCCTGTTTTGTGCCTATCAAAATTCTTTGAAGAAAAACTTTCAAAGTGCGATTTATTGATGTTGGGTAATGAAACATTAGTTTTAGATGAAGCCTCTTTTACGATAGGTATGTTCCTTTTTTCATCCCTATTATTATCTTCTTCTTTCTTTGCAACCATGGTTGAATACTAGCCACCTGCATTCTGTGTCTTTTTTCCTGCGCTTGGGGGTTTGGCTTATTTCAATCCTGGCTGTTCTCGCTTTTTTCAGATCCTGTCTCTCTGCTGACTCATGTTACGTCTACTACCTGTTGACAATGCATGTTGAGCTTCGACCCCATTTTTTGTAATTAGCTAGAGAGAGTGTATAGATAGGCTCGTGTTGTCATTGCTTGGTCATTTGTCTGATGATGCTCAGTCAAATTCGACACTAGGGACTCTTTTGGTGCGGTTTGTCTGATTTTTTTTCTGAGCTGGTGCGTGAGGCTCGCCTAGGGAGAGTGTCCGATTATTTCCTTGCCGAGCTTACTTTCAATAACCTGTTGACTTTGTGGCTCATTAAGTATGTACGGCTGTAAAAGTTGCCAGTCCGTTAACCCTCTCGGACCGTTTTTGCGAGTGAGCAAGGAAGCCTCTCCTCTACTATTTTTTACTTATTATCATATGAATAACATCACTGCGGAGTTTGGAGTCTTTCAACCTCATAAACTATTTCTTTCCGATTTTTTGATTTTTTCGTTTTGCGTTTATTTTTGATTTTCAAATCTTCCTCTTGTAGACCTATACTTGCACAACATTGTGCTCAAACTTTCTGTATTATAGGTATTTTTTGACTAAGAAACGAGAATTCTGACACGGTGCTGAAGCCGGCGCAAGTTATTGATTGGTTGCAATCCACTTGTATACAGAAATTTTTGTATTGCTGATGGGAAGACAAATGCGGTTTCAAAGCTATATTTGGAAGGCAAAGGCTATATGAAGCGATTTATAGCAATGAGAAGTAAAAATATCCTTTAGCGCCAGTTCAGCAAGTCTCTTAATTGATGGTGTCAATTGCCACCACCACGTCCCAAATGTTAATCTAGCATACCTGTTCCCACAGTCTCCGTCATACTCCTGGAATCTAGGTTGCTTGTTGGTGAGCGAGGTTGGCATGCTGAAACTCACATGAGTACTCGCTAGAATATTGCTTCTCTAGTTAACCTAATGTTCTATTATCTGTTAGATTCTGAATCTGAACTGTCGATTGGCCCTTGAAAATGCAATTTATCTTCTGCGTAAGTCCTCTATGGTTTCTGTGATCTGTGTTTCTGAGACTGGTTTTTTTTGCACGAAGCTGTTGATTATTAACTCGATATTGTGGCCTATGTTAAGCTAATAAACAAGTAGATAAAATGTAGAAAAGCGGCAGTATGAAGGCTGCTGCGGTGGTATAGGGTCAATCACAGAAGGAAAGAAGAACCCTTCAAAGAAATGTACATCAGCGGCAAAGCGCACTGAATATATCGTAAGACAAATGCGACGTTTAAACTTTGTTGATAGCAGCACTTGACAAAATTTTTATTCATAAAGGCCAAAGTCTTCCTAGGTTTGGCCTTAAAAAACTGGAAGAATGATAAATCTGTACTTCGCTCTTTATAGCTTCCTTCAAAAAGCATAAGTTTCTACACATGTCCAACATTGCAACTAATGTACTTGAGAGGATAGTATTAGGTTGATGCAAAAATAATGGCCTTTAACACTAAGTTAAATGCTCTTTTGTCTTTGAATCTGGGCATGATAAGATGTCAGTAGAATAATTGTTTCAGTAGTTTGTGCCTTCAGATTCTGTGGTGACCTTACGTTTCGACAATGTCGTCGTCATCAGAGGTCTGAAAACGGATTGTAGGCTGTTTGACTTGCTCACCATACCTTCAAGCGCCTCCTCCCACTCTGTCAGTCTAGACCTAGTCTAAACTCGCAGCATGAGACCTTCAAGGCCACGACAATCTGTACCTTTGGACTGAGTAAAACGCAAGTACTGATTACAAGTACTCATTCAGGCATGTTTACATTGTAACATCTTCAAATGGTCTGAGAGATACTTCTCTCAGATACGAGGACTTGCAATGGGCCAACGCCTAGCGCCAGTCCTCGCGGTATGCTTCATGAGTAGGATTGAGGAGCCAGTGCTTGCGCGAATGCCTTTGATGCATTGTCGCTACATCCATGACTGCTATGTGATCATCAACTCAATCCGAAATGGATGAGTTATTCAACTTATTAAACCAGCAGTCCCAATACATCAAGCTCACTCGAGAGACCCCTAGAAACGGATGGCTGCCTTACCTTAACACCCAGATCAGCTTATTCGATGGTGTTTTCCATGTTAAATGGTATCGTAAAGGAAGCTGCAAGAATATCTTGGTCCATGCAAGATCAGCTCACCCCCAGAAATGAAAAGAGCAGTGATTCATAATATGATGAAAACTGCTTCGACGGTGTGGACGGGTTACGAAGAGCGGCTTGAGTCACGAGAGCTTGCATCACAAATCGCACGCAACAATGGATATGCGTTACAAGAACATCAACGTAGATTACGTACGCGTTCCACACAGCATGTCCGAATGCAATGCGATAAGATCCCTCTTTGCATTCCCTTTATTTCAGACGAACTTAGTAGACAAATTAAGCAATGCATTTCTAGAGCCCAACTGAGGAAGATGTAATGCTTGTTAACATCCCGAATAACAGTTTGAGGAAGCAGTTGGTGCGAAACAGACTCTAGGATAATGAGTGCATTATGGAGCATTGCATAGTTTGTCCGTACGGCAGAATAGGAGATTGTGCAAAGACAGGTGTGGTCTACGAACTAGAATGTCTCAGCTGCCAAGACTGCTATATCGGAGAAACGGGTAGAAGTCTAGGTGTACGGTTAAAAGAGCATTTAGCGAATAAAAGACGAGGGACTCCGACAGCACCGTTGGGACGGCACAAGATAGAGGCGCACTGCGGAAATGATTACGAAGTCAAATGCACGATATTGACATGCGAGACTGAAATTTGCGCATGGAGACTGTTTTAAGTCGCGTGGATTTCTGTCAGAAATCCAAAGATGAATGCCAAAAATGAGTGCTTGCCTATGAGTAGTGACCTAGCTCCATTCATATCATTATGTGGGCTTAGCGTTGCACATAAAAGGAGTTGACTCATTGAGTGACACTCAGTGACGTCCGTTACGACTAAATGTGCGGGCTTGTCGCTGGCCGGTGGAGTCGAGGTTCGGTCGTTTCGTGGCCTTGAGGGTCTCATGCTGCGAGTCTTAGACTAGGTCTAGACTGACAGAGTGGGAGGAGGCGCTTGAAGGTATGGTGAGCAAGTCAAAGAGCCTACAATCCATTTTCAGACCTCTGATGACGACGACATTGTCGAAACGTAAGGTCAATAAACTCTCCACCACAGAATCTGAAGGCACAAACTACTGACACAATTATGTGTCTACTATTTGACAATCAGCTATGAGACTTTTGAAATTTCTCCGGGCGAAGATCCGATTTTTGAGCTGGTTAAATCCTTACGAATTTTGGCATCACACTTAACGTAGACCAAATGTTTCATTTTAGCAGTCCTTTGCAGAGATTACTTCGTTTTACCGAATGGTACCTCACTCGTATATTTCAATGATCATGCTGTGCTATACTACGGACATTAATTTTGCATTAGCATGATAAAACTGTCAGAATTTATTTCTGAAAGGTCGTCGGACCTCATGGGAGCCAAATCGCTCAGCCAATATCCTTTCTTAGAATTTTCATGAATTCATCACAAGAAAAGGTAGGTTCACACTGGAAAGCTATCTTGATACTTCACTCCCTCAGTCTGCTCACACTGGCAACTTATTTTCAGAAATTCAGCAATGTGTGTTTTAGCTTTAAGTCCCTATCATCCCCAAAACTCTGTCTCTATCAACATGCTATGGCTCTTAAAAAGTTGAACAACTTCAATTTTGCAATGAAGAGGTACTTAGTGATATTCGGGCGAATAACTAGTGTCTAAGGTAGCCTATTCCGCCGTTCAAAATATTTGTTCAAATTCTCTACTGGCGACGGCGGGTGCTTGAAAACATAATTCGAATAGTCTAATAAATGAAAGAGGCCTTTGTTCGAATACGTTCACTCCACGACTCGGACAAATGACTTATTCGAATATTGGAATTTTAGAAGACATCTATTCGAATATTCGAAAGTTCGAATTTTGGATTGTGTCCATATTCGAATATTCAATTGAATAACATGAAAAATGAAAATCAATGGTATTTCCATTCGAAAATTTTTCAAAATTTAATTATTCGATATTCGTTCATTCGATGAAAATTTCCGTTCGTAACAACTATTGCACGAATATACGCGCTGGAGAATCGCGTGCTTAAGACAAATCCTCAAGAAACAGATTTGAAAGACGGTTGCACTAGGCTTGAGACTTCCGAACGTTGTCGGTCACGCACTTCCCGTAACTTTGCTGAATCTTTTTTTGGTTTGGTCAATGTGTCAGTAGTCTTATAAACTTTTTATTGAAAGAGAGCTGGAAACAATAAATCTCTATTTTTATGAAGATAAATACCGTAAGTACAGAGAAAACCCGTTGCTGTTTTTTTGAGTGTAAGCGAGGAGGGCAAATCACAGCTAGAAAAGTGGCAACGTGTGCAATAAGAACGAGAAGTGAACTGAGCGTCGTGGACAAGGCAACAGAGAACAGAGCAAGGCTGAAACAATGAAAAATTCGCTAAATCCTACACTAACCATGACTGGATAGTGGAAAGTAGAAAGGAGGATCTTTAAAGCTAAACTGCTGCTAACGAACAACATAGCAGCGGAATGGGCAAACAGTTGGGCCAATTACAAAGCTGGGGCTGATGAGTCCATATCTGGCCAGAAGGGCCAATGCTTCTCCAGATACCATGCTTGTGGCATGTCGGGAATTTTTCCACAATAGTACCGATGCACTGTGAGTCTGTAGAACTCCCTAAAATTCAAAGTTTTTGCAAACACGACTCCAAAAAAAAAACTAAAACATACCCTCGATCGTCCTCGCCTTTCTCAATATTTGTGATTATATCAAAGTGTATCACATCTTCATCATTTTTATCATATCGCTCCTCAGCTTCAAAAAACTCTCCACGTCGAACCACCACCTGGAACCTTTGTCGGTTAATCAGTCATCGGCTATGATGCTTCAAATCAGCCCTTACGTTCGTGAACATAAGCTGGCCATAGTCTTTCATCATAGGATATTCGCAGCATTGAAGGTACAACCTAAAGTCCGTAACTTTGTAGGAAAGATGAAATACGATTCAATTTCCTAGCACTTACTTTCCATCAACGGTTTTTTGCAAACCGCCAACCCAAGACGTGTTGCTCGGGCAAGACAAAGCTTCGGCACGTTCAGGACACTCCTTTAGTTCAGACAATTATGTTATTGTTCAGGCCAAACATACTGGTGATAGACTTACTGTTAGACTTACAGCGTATTTCTTCTCATGACAATTTGGTCGTGAACATAACAAAACTAAATGACCGTCTTTGTGTACCTGGAAAATGTCAAATCATTCTAAATACCCAAACCATTGAGTTTTGACTGAATCAATTTGTTTGACCAAATCGTTCGCAATTTTTGATCAGTTTTTTTTTAACTTGTTGTACTATATTTGGGAAAGTGTGCATCTCTTCGAGACTTTTTAGTCTGTTTTATTAACTGGTTTTACACTATCAGTTGCTATAAATTCAAGAATCTGGCTTCAAACTTCAAAGTTTCACCAGGCGAAGAAGTGTTTTTGGCATCTCTTCCAATTTTCCTCTTTTTCCGTGATATAATTTGAACAGTCTTCACAATAAGCAGAACAACACGCTTACGATCTGTACTAGTCCTGTCGCTGTTTATACTTACTTCCTGTACAACAAGATTCTAATGTTGGTATTTCAAAATTGGCAGAGCAAAACTCTCTCGCGATTTTCGTCTTTTTGCGCTCAAGTTGTGTATCCTTCGATTTCCAATTTTTGAGTGCATAATCCATTCATTTGATGATTTTTTAACCACACATTTTCTCCTCCAATTTTGAAATGTTCGCCAACCATGCTCTTTAAAGGGGCCTTCAGTGTCTTTGTTGTTGAAAAGAGCCAAGAAAGAGACCTATCTTCAAGTTCACAAATTAACTTTTTTAACACTTTTTAGCCTTTTGGAAAGTAGTCAACAAGAAATAGGGAAATTTCTTGGAAGCCTTCCACTTTGAAAGGAGACATAAAGTTCTCGAATATAAATCTTCACCATTTCAGATTTTCAATTTGAAAGCTGCAAAAAATCGCCAAATTTTTGGGTTGGGAAAACAAAGCAGGAAAATTGATACAGGAGGATGATCTTAGAAGCGTATGCAAATCTTACCAAACACCGCCAAGATATAAAGAAAGGAATTTAATGAGAACGAACTTACTACAAAATCTATATTAGTTTCATGTTGACAACAATCCCACTGAAATATCTTGTACTCGTCATATCCGTTATAAACAAAGAGTATAAAATTCTACCTTCTTTCAATCTCAAACAAAAAATCTAACGAAACTTTTCAACTTAATTTAGCATCACGCAGCCAAATTTCTGACCGACACCTTACCGGAGATGAGAATTTTTTGAAAAAAAGAACCAAAAAAATCAAATGATTACATACCTCGATCCCGAACGGAATTCGATTATTTCCGCAAAATTCGGTAAGCACGTTTGAAAATAAACTGAGCAACGTTATCGCAGCGACCCGTAGTATCATCTGAAATTAAAAAATGTCGATGTGAAAGAAGGTCTGAAAAAACGAAAATTCATTGCGGTTTGATGCGGATGCGAACTGAAAGAATACACACAAAGCTTGGTGATTGAATTTCAGTATTGAAAATTGACAAACACAGGATTGAAAAGAGAGAATGCACTGCGAAATTTCTCGAAAGTTGCTTGAAAAAGCAAAACTAGTCAGCCTATTTATGTGTGATGTAAAAAAGTTTGAAGAAACATTGAGTTACAGCGACGGCATTTCTACGGGCCGAGATGACAAAGCGGCAGGACCTTCGTCGCTTTTTTTGAGCAAAAGAGTCGTAATTCACGGGACGGACATTTCTTCTCAAAAGCAGTTCTTCACCAGATGTGAGCGAGATAAATGACAGAAGCAGAGGGATAGCGCTTTCATAGCTAACAAGCTAATCGCATCTTTGAGAAAAAGCGCAATCAAAATTTGTTGTGTCTCCTTGACAATGCACTTATGCTCAAATCATTTTGCAATCACAAGCACATTACATTGTTTGCAGTTGTTGAGTTATTCATAGCTTTAACGAACTGGGAAAGAGCTTCTCAAGTGACACTAAAAGCGAAACTCACTATTCTGTTATTGTGAGGTTTATTCTGCTTCCCGTGAGAATGGTACATGAATTACGGTAATTTATTAAAAGATGGGAAGACCTCAACCAAATGGTTGCTCTTGAATATACATGACAAAGCTCTGTTTTATCTAGGCCACCCTTTAGATCCAGAGTGTGCTATAACTAAAGGAAATTGAAAAGAAAAGCGAGAAAATGCCATGGTAGCGGTAAAAGTAGTTGGATAGCCGGGTTCATACACTGATCTTACTGTTGAGAATGAGTTGATTTCGCCATTTATAGAAACGCGAAATCAGATATAGATTTTTATTTCTGGACAGACAGTGTATACAATTCTGAAAAGAGATACCAGATAACGAGAAAATACCTAGAAGTAAGCTAAATTTTTAAACGGAATTTGAAATTTTGCAGAGGTACACTGGCGAATGCGGTGGGAGGCTATAAACAATATCAAGACAGAGATATATTCTGGCTGAAGATGGTTTACTACTTCATTCAAAGATGAGTTACGGGTTGCAAAACTTCAAAAAAAAAGGAGGATGTAGTAAGGACTGAAGAAGCACCTCAATATCGAGCTTTTTTCCTTTTTGAAACTTGAGTCAGTCGGAAAAAACCATGAATCACATGAGTACAAACGTAAACCAAATATGACATTTTTAGTCCCATCGACCCTTCTATAACATAGGCCAAGATCACAAAACATTCTTTTAGACATGTTCTAGAATACACTGAGAAGATTCTCTGCCCCCAAAGAGCTGAAACATGGAATGACGACTCACTTTACAGGAATGTACGTAATTTTGCTTGCCGAATCATCAACAGTGTTTCCAATAATTTTACTCTCGTATTTCAACAATGAGACCTTCATGATGTAAATGAATTTACAAGGGATCGACAGATGAAAAAAAATTAGATGAGTGAACCCTTCACCAAATCTAGCAAGCTCATTACATGGAGACATGAGCACTGCAATGAAGGGTTGAAATGGAGATACTAAATCTCTAGCGAAAATCAGTAGATTTGAGTAACCGAAAGCTTATCAAAACGCAAATCAACTCCAAATAAGGTAAATTGGCTCAGAGAAGCATAATAAGCTTTTTGTGTGATAAGCCAACACTAAAGGCGAGACAATTATCGGATCGAATAGGCGCGAAGAGTCCTCGAACGAGGATGGATAGCGTGAATTAAGCGCTTCATCATAACGCCGTTTCCCATGTGGAGCTGAACGGGCTAATGGTGTGTCTTCTCCATGAAATGAAACGGCGTCGGAGAACTGGTTCTGGCTCTGATGAGGGCTGTAAGTCGGCGCAGGAACGAAAAAACAGCCACAAAACAGATGTACAATTATTGCGCAATTGCTAGCTTGACCTAGCCAGAACATGGCCATTGTTCGCGTATTCTAGCAATGATCTGATGCACAAAACTAGAGCAGTTCGGTAAGAGGCACTTGGCTGACACACTATAGCCTCGTCGAATGCACCATATGATTTTTCATAGAGAAAAAGAATGAACCGGTTTCTCAATAAAGCGAACGATTGCTACCGAGTTTTTTACTCGCTGCCTAGGTATGAGTGGAACTGAACCTAATGTGCAGAATAAGACTGGCAATCACTATTTAGACCTATCTCTGAGAAGGCTTTTCCTCTACGATGCTTGAAAATAGTTGGCACCCTGACTTTGCACATCATTAAGAAAATTTCATTTGAAAGATTCACAGGCTGTAGAGAAAAATTCATGATAATTGGCGATATGGAGCCTGGCAAACTCTATAGGAAAATGAGATAACAAACTGCACCGGATGAATCTCAAAATAAAGAAAATCTGTCCATCAGCAATCATCAGCATTATCAAAGGAATGTGCGTATCTCAAGTCATATTTTGTCTTCAGAGGACAGATTCCAGGCCGTTCGAATAGTAGGAGAAAGAACACTGAGAAGGCACTGGACAAACTTTAAATGAAATGCCATTTTCTCTTTCCTTTTTGCACCAAATGCCATTACTGATTGTGAATCACCATATCTACGTCTATTACGGAAATTGTTTATGTTAGTAGTTTCGAACGCTTGGAAAAGACTAGATCTGCATTCAGATGACGAAATCACAAATCTAAAATTGTCCGAGACCCAGAAGAAATCAGATAGCTAGCAGAGAAAACGAGCTACAAGGATTTTTCTTGCTTAAGCCATTTAAAGGCAGTGTCCGGGCAAAAACTCGATTTTGAAATTTTGTGCTTATACGGGCCTATTCGCCATGCTGAATCCGAAAATCCACATTGGAAAGCGCGAAAACGGCGAAAAAGGAACGATTACTAACAAAGTTAAAACGTTGGAAAGTGAGGCTTAAAACTCTTGGAACACTTTACGGAGTGGGGATGAACAAAATGTACAGAAGAGAACTTGCAGTCACCATTTAGACCACGATATATTCCTGAAAAATTGTGCGAGCGGATTATTTTACGTGGGAGATAGTTGATTCCCAAACTTAGACAAGAACTGAGAAACTGAAAAAAATAAATGAAGGGCGGCAGAGATTTCAAGTTGAGTGACTGTTTGAGACCTGGAAAAGCTTCACAGGAAGAAATTCAATTCAGAAATTGCAGAGAAACATAAATATTGAGAATAAAGAGAATCTGTCCATCATGAATCATCGCCGTCATCAAATCTTGCGTCCAAGTCATATACTGTCTATAGGGGACAAATTCAAGGCCGTTTGATGGAGGAAGAACACTAAGGATGCACTTTTCAGACATTGAATGGGGTGCTATGTCCTTTTCCCTTTCCTTTTTATATCATTTTTTGTAATTTACGTCACTAAAATTGCTTATTTTGGTATCTCACGCCCAAAATAACTCGACTGCATTCAATCATCAAAATCGTAAATCTGAAATTGTCGCAGATGCAAAAGAAATCAAATAGCTAGCAAAAAAAATGAGCTACAAGATTTTTTCTTGGTTAAGGCATTCAGGACAACGTCTATTTGTAGAATTACCCGAACGAGTGAATTCATTCGCAGACAATGCATGCCTCAAGTTCAACAACGCTTCCCACATCCTTTATTAGACTAGAATGAGCAGGCTTTTGTATAATGGGAGCATAGAATGCACATAAACAATGAAATGGCTGTGCGTTCGTTATGCCTGCACTGCCTCATCAAAGTGAAAAAGAAGTAATTTTCTCTAACCTTCGTAATGTACTTCGACAAAGGAAATAGAGAGAAATGTACAGAGAGTAGAGAACATGTGACTAGAGCGATTTTTCTCTTAGGAACTACAATTGATATTCTCGCAAGAAAGATAAAGCTAATAGTAAAATTATACCGCGTATAAGTTGAATAGGGTATGAGTTGGATAAGAAAATAGAGGTTATAAAGTGATCCTAATAAAGTGATCTTTAATCAGTCAAGCAAAAAGATAACAAGCGGAAGTTCAACGTACTGGGCTGCAAATAATGAGACCAATGAAATGAAGTAGAACAACAAAAAAACACGCAAACAAGAATGAAAAAGGTGCAAATGGTGAACAAGAAGAGAAACTATATAATATTTTATGTGATTGGAGGTATTCAAAAAGACGATTACAGGGATGAACGAACGAGGATTGTTCATTCAATCTGAAATTTGAATATTCTGGAGCATCTGCGCACTACAGAGGAGGCATTCTTACAAGGGATTAGGCTCAACCTTAGAAAAACAACTCGAATATATGAAATAACTCGAGATCTCGAGCGTCTTCATACACGAAATATTTTTAATAACAAGTTGTCGTAAAAATAGCATTCGTAAGCAACAAAATTCCTAATCCTTTAGATAAGCATTATGGTAAATAAAGGTATTAGTAATCAAACGCTCATCAAAACAATGGAACAGTTCTTCCACCAAGCCTGGCCGAATCACAAAGAGATCAGTGCTAATCTCGCAAGATCCATTAGGGCTTATGTTGGTACGAAGCGCGTAGAGTCTTCGAGATTATTTATGGCTTCCCGTTGGCCGGCAGATGCGAAATTATCGTCTTCGAAGCCGTTTGCGATCGGCGGCTATTACAATACATACGGTTGTAAATTTCTGGCTTGGAGCAGCGCGAGTCCGTGCAGAGCAAATCGTTCAAAATTAATGGTTTGTTCTAAAAGTCTTCAAAAAGTGACGAAAATTTTCTTACCTTTAATTTTGAATCAATATTACCATCAAAAATTGCGAATGGTCTACGTGAAGTTTACAGCCAAATTTCAAATTTGTTCATACGTGCTTATTTTCATGCTGATTTGATATTTCTTGAAAAGTGAAGCTCATAGAAGGCTGAAAATCTACGGTCTTACTTATCAAAGTTCAAACTATAGGTTTCCCTATGTAGAAACAGCACGACTTGACAGCTTGACAAAAACATGCAAATGTTCATTTTCTTGAGGGA